AAGATTTCAACCCAAATATTTTTTTTTTGTTTTTTTTCGGGATAAACCTAGAATTGTTTAAATTAAAATTCTAATTCTGAATTGTCTTTGCATTTGCATTCTTCTTTTAATATTCATTCATCATTAATTGCCTTTAAAAAATCAATTTATTAGATTCTCTAAGAAGAAGATTTGATATAGTCATATGAACAATTTGTACGCATTATCACAACATAATGATGAATTTTTTAAGTTATAAATACGAAGGAAGAACCGTTCTTCTTTTATTTCTGTTTCTACGTCACCAATTAATGTTTACTGACTACTTTATATATACATAATAATAAAGTTGTTTAGTTTTTAATGTCAATGCAAAATTATTTTTAATTATCACTAATAAATTAATAACAATTAATTATTCGTTATTATTATTGATCAAAAAGTAACGAACGAACACAAATAATTTTATTACGATTTTTCTTTAATTTCTAAAATTTTTATTTCTTATTTTTCCATTTCTTTATTCTCCCTAAGATTTCAAACATTCATCTTAATTATAAGAAACATCATTCGGTCGACCATCCATTCGATCGTCAAATCTAAGAATTTCAAAGTATTTACTTTAAATTAGTTTCCCCTATTGCTATTTTATCAATCAATCAATCAATCTCCCCCCCCCCTATATAATTCAGTCCATAGTTCATATTTACATAACAAAAGACGTCATAAGGCTATCTAAAGTTTATTATCTCAAAGCTTCTATATCATTTGGTTGATTTTAACCTTTCTCCTTTTTACTTTTCTCCTTTTTTACTCTTCTCCTTTTTTTCTCCATTAAGTTTTTCCCTGGTGTGAGAATATTTATTATCTCGGTAAGTTGCTACATTTTCTTGATTTTTATTTATTATTACTTATTTTACCATCGCTACTGTTTATTACCATTTAATTTATTATTAAATGTAATGATTAAGAGATTTTAAGATATTTATTTATTATTTATTATCATTATTTGGGAGAATGTTGAAAATTTCAAAAAAAAAAAAGAATTCATATATATAAAAATAACACCGAAGCATGATCAACAAAATCATTTACAAAAATGTGTATTTGCTCTCAAAAATAGTAGTTGTAAAGAATTGTTGAATGAATCAAAATTGACACAACATATTAGATACTCTTTATATATACATTAAAAATAGATTTTCATGTGAATTCAAAAATAGTAAAAATAAATGGAAATAATTATAGAAAATTGGTAATATAGTTCAGATATATTGGCAATAAAAATCGATAGCAATAGGCAATTAGTAATAAATAATAGTGAATTAGTCATTATCTCGTGTTTGCGCCTCTTTTAATTTTGCTTCTGCAAGATTCACCAATTAATATTAACAGTGATTAATAACACAGAAAAGAAGGAATAAAGAAAGCAGGAGAAAAATTTTTTTAATTTTTAACTTTTTTATATTTCTTCTTTTTAAATCATTTTTTTTTGTCTTGCAAGCATAATATTAGACAGTATATTTAAATTAAAATTACTACTTATTTATTAGTTAATTAATCATTATTTCTTTTCTCATTATTATTTTTCTCATCTTGCTCATTTTATTTATTTTGTTTGGAACAAATTTCAGTTGTATTATTTAAAACTAAAAATTCCTTTTTTTCATAATTGACCTCAAACAAATAATCAGTACCGTCACCCCCAATGGAATGGGATATGACTACAAAAGAAACTCGCAAAGCAAATTATATGACAAATGTTCGTAATAAAAAGAACTTACAAGGTAAAGATTACCTCTATCTGTATCTATATTTCTATATAAGTTTGTGCATTTCAATTTTCCATTATTGTTATGGTAATTACAAACAATAAGCTTATTAATAGATTTTAGTCAACACTAGTACACCATCTAACGTACCATTTAGTCCAAAATCTCCCAAAGCAGTATTTACAACTATGAATTTAAATGATGAAGATGACATGGTAAACACCAACTGATAATTTATATTGATGATAAGAGAATACTATTATTTAATTAACTTGAATGATTTTATTATAATAAATAGATTAAAGAAAATCTTGACATAAATCCAGAAACTGATTCTTTTTATTACATGGAAATCTTATTGGAATCTCTTGCTGTTCTCGGTAAATTGCCTCAAGTACTTGAAGTAAGTTTCAAAATAATAATTAATCAATCAATTGCTTACTTGATTGCTCACACAATTACATTTTGAATATTGCATTAATTAATAGAAAATTACTCAAAGAATTCCAGTGGAATTGTATCAATTAGTAGATAAAACAGTTGCAGAGGTTGAGGCAAGGTTAGTGGACCATTTATTTTGTTTGATTCCTTTATTGCTTCTTTTTTAAAAATCTTGAAGATGTCTGGTCATTATGGATCTACCAACCCACCTGTATAATATTTTTTCATTATATTCTTCACTGTTCCTATTGTTACTAGATATGTTGATATTATTAAAACACACAATACAAAGAGATTTGAT